TAGTTGCAGTAGTTGTAGTAGTAGTAAAAACAGCAGTAGTAGTAGTAGTATTAATACTAGTAATTGTTGTTGTTGTTGCTATAACTTCATTGCTATTATCATCATCTTGAATTTCCTTCATATGAACTATATTGACAAAATACAACGTCGAACAAGAAGTTTCAAAAAACTCCTAAAACTTTAATCTTAAGAAAATAATCAAACTATGTCCGCCAAAGCTACAGACGCAGAAAAACCGCCTTTTCAGTTTCCTTTAAGCGCCGAGTCCATTAGGAAAATAAAAAAATAAAAAAAGTGAAGAGAGAGAGAGAAAAAAATATTTGTGTGCCTATGTAAGTTTATGAAGATCATTAGGAGTTCTTCATGGCAGAGCAATTAAGAAAGCAAATTACCTTTTCTTTCGGAAGTTTTAGTGTTTATTTTTTCGAGGGGGGGGGGGGGGTATTTACATTTCCAAATTAAAAGGTCTGAATGATAATGATGATAATGATAATAACAGTAATGATGATGATAATGATGATGGCAATTATGATGATGGTAATGAGGATGATGATGATAATGATAATAATAACCATAAAGCATATTAACATTAATAATAATAGGTCTGCATGATAATGATGATAATGATAATACCGGTAATGATGATGATGATGATAATGATAATGATAGCCATAAAATATATTAACAATAATAATGATAGGTCTGAATTCACCAAAACTATCTTCTTGCTCTTATAACCAACTGAAAAATGCTTAGAATTCTTGGATGAGGATTTAAAGGGTTTTCTCTGTAGGTAGCTTGGAGTTAATTATCAAGAAATAATTAACACAATATATCTTTATACTTGTAAGGCTTTTAAAACTTGTCAGATTCCTTCTCCACCTGTGTGTATCACTGCAGCCGCTCCCTTCATTAGCCTGGTAAGGGAGGCCAGGTCCGTGACGTCACACATCACGTGCTCCAATGACCCTTGGGAGACTTCGCCTGTCCAGAAATCTGTGGAACATCAAAGGGAAATTGAAATATAAATAAACAAACACATTAATAAGTGATTGGTAAAAAGAAAAGGAAAAATATTTATTTCCTAGTTACACTGTGACCACTGTATGATAAATACTAGAACTAATGAAACGAGACATTCGCAGCCGGAAGTGTAACGTTTCGAGTCGGACGAGATTCCTCTTCTATTTCCGTTTTATCGACTGAAGAAGAGTCTTGCTTTTTTCCGAAACGTCACGGTTTGGCGTTTCTATTTCTGCTCCTCATATCCTTATTCGGGCTTCAATTCCCAAAACCCAGGCTTCTTCAAAGACCCAGGCTTCCCAAGACCCAGGCTTTCAATTCCCCAAAGACCCATGCTTCAATTCCCAAGACCAGGTTTCAATTCCAAGACCCAGGCTTCAATTCCCAAGACCCAGGCTTTTTCCCAATTTCAATTCAATTCCCAAGAACCCAGGCTTCAATTCCAATTCAATTTCCAAGAACCCAGGCTTCAATTCCCAAGACCCAGGCTTCAATTCCCAAGACCCAGGCTTCAATTCCCAAGACCCAGGCTTCAATTTCCCCCAAGACCCTTCAATTCCAAGACCAGCTCTTCAATTTCAAGCCCAGGCTTCAATTCCCAAGACCCAGCTTCAATTCCAAGACCCAGGCTTCAGTTCCCAAGACCAGGCTTCAATTCCCAAGACCAGGCTTCAATTCCAAGACCAGTTCAATTCCCAAGACCCAGGCTTCAATTCCCAAAACCCAGGCTTCAATTCCCAAGACCCAGGCTTCAGTTCCCAAGACCCAGGCTTCAATTCCCAAGACCCAGGCTTCAATTCCCAAGACCCAGACTTCAATTCCCAAGACCCAGGCTTCAATTCCCAAGACCCAGGCTTCAGTTCCCAAGACCATTCATTCCCAGACCAGGCTTCAATTCCCAAGACCCAGGACTTCAATTCCCAAGACCCAGGCTTCAGTTTCCCAAGACCCAGGCTTCAATTCCCAGACCCAGGCTTCAATTCCCCAAGACCAGGCTTCAGTTCCCAAGACCCAGGCTTCAGTTCCAAGAAAATTCCCAAGACCCAGGCTTCAATTCCCAAGACCCAGGCTTCAATTCCCAAGGACCAGGCTTCAATTCCCAAGACCCAGGCTTCAAGAGCTTCAGTTCCCAAGACCCAGGCTTCAATTCCCCAAGACCCAGGCTTCAATTTAAGACCAGGCTTCCCCCAAGACCCAGGCTTCAATTCCAAGACCCAGGCTTCAAAGATTTCAGTTCCCAAGACCCAGGGCTTCAATTCCCCCAGGCTTCAATTCCCAAGACCCAGGCTTCAGTTCTTAAAAGACCAGCTTCCCAAGACCAGGCTTCAAAGGCTTAATTCCCAAGGGCTTCAATTCCCCAAGACCCAGGCTTCAGGGACCCAGGCTTCTCCCAAGGCCCAGGCTTCAATTCCCAAGACCCAGGCTTCAGTTCCCAAGACCAGGCTTCTTCCCAATAAAAGACCCAGGCTTCAGTTCCCAAGACCCAGGCTTCAGTTCCCAAGGACCAGGCTTCAGTTCCCAAGGACCAAGAGTTCAATTCCCAAGACAGACTTCAGGCTTCCCCAAGACCCAGGCTTCAGTTCCCAAGACCCAGGCTTCAATTCCCAAGACCCAGGCTTCAATTCCAGACCCAGGCTTCAGTTCCCAGACCCACAGACTTCAGTTCCCAAGACCCAGGCTTCAGTTCCCAAGGACCAGGCTTCAATTCCCAAGGACCAGGCTTCAATTCCCAAGACCCAGGCTTCAATTCCCAAGAACCAGGCTTCAGTTCCCAAGACCCAGGCTTCAATCCCAAGACCAGGCTTCAAATTCCCAAGACCCGGCATTCCAAGACCCAGGCTTCAATTCCAAGACCAGGCTTCAGTTCCAATTAGACCCAGGCTTTCTTCAGTTCCCAAGACCCAGGCTTCAGTTCCCAAGGACCAGGCTTCAGTTCCCAAGACCCAGGCTTCAGTTCCCAAGACCCAGGCTTCAGTTCCCAAGACCCAGGCTTCAGTTCCCAAGACCCAGGCTTCAATTTCCAAGACCCAGGCTTCAAATTCATTCCAAGACCCAGGCTTCAATTCCCAAGACCCAGGCTTCAATTCCAAGACCAGGCTTCAGTTCCCAGACCCAGGCTTCAATTCCCATTCAAAGACCCAGGCTTCAATTCCCAAGACCCAGGCTTCAGTTCCCAAGACCCAGGCTTCAATTCCCAAGACCCAGGCTTCAATTCCCAAGACCAGGCTTCAGTTCCCAAGACCCAGGTTTCAGTTCCAAGACCAGCTTCAGTTCCCAAGACCCAGGCTCAATTCCCCAAGTTCAGTTCCCAAGACCCAGGCTTCAATTCCCAAGGACTTCAGTTCAGTTCAGTTCCCAAGACCCAGGCTCAATTCCCAAGACTTCAGTTCCAAGACCCAGGCTTCAATTCCCAAGTTCAGTTCCCCAAGACCCAGGCTTCAGTTCCCAAGACCCCAGGCTTCAATTCCCAAGACCCAGGCTTCAGTTCCCAAGACCAGGCTTCAGTTCCCAAGACCAGGCTTCAATTCCAAGGACCCAGGCTTCAGTTCCAAGACCCAGGCTTCAGTTCCCAAGACCCAGGCTTCAGTTCCCAAGACCCAGTCTTCAATTAGCAAGACCCAGGCTTCAGTTCTCAAGACCCAGGCTTCAATTCCCAAGACAGACTTCAGTTCCCAAGACCCAGGCTTCAGTTCCCAAGACCCAGGCTTCAGTTCCCAAGGACCAGGCTTTAATTCCGAAGACCCAGGCTTCAGTTCCCGACACAGACTTCAGTTCCCAAGGGCTTCAATTCCCAAGGACCAGGCTTCACTTCCCAAACCCAGGCTTCCCAATTCTTCAGGCTTCAGTTCCAAGACCCAGGCTTCAGTTCCCAAGACCCAGGCTTCAGTTCCCAGACCAGGCTTCAATTCCCAAGACCCAGGCTTTTCAGTTCAGTTCCAAGACCCAGGCTTCAGTTCCCAAGACCCAGGCTTCTTCAAAGACCCAGGCTTCAGTTCCCAAGACCCAGGCTTCAGTTCCCAAGACCCAGCTTCAGTTCCCAAGGACCCAGGCTTCCAAGACCCAGGCTTCAGTTCCCAAGACCCAGGCTTCAGTTCAGTTCAAGACCAGGCTTCAGTTCCCAAGACCCAGGCTTCAGTTCCCAAGACCCAGGCTTCAGTTCCCAAGACCCAGGCTTCAGTTCCCAAGGACCAGGCTTCAGTTCCCAAGACCCAGGCTTCAGTTCCCAAGACCCAGGCTTCAGTTCCCAAGACCAGGTTCTTTCAGTTCCCAGACCCTCAGTTCCAGACTTCAGTTCCAAGACCAGGCTTCAGTTCCCAAGACCCAGGCTTCAGTTCCAAGACCCAGGCTTCAGTTCCCAAGACCCAGGCTTCAGTTCCAAGACCCCTTCATTCAGTTCCAAGACCCAGGCTTCAATTCCCAAGACCCAGGCTTCAATTCCCAAGACCCAGCTTCAGTTCCAAGACCAGGCTTCAATTCCCAAGACCCAGGCTTCAATTCCCAAGACCCAGGCTTCAATTCCCAAGACCCAGGCTTCAATTCCCAAGACCCAGGCTTCAGTTCCCAAGACCAGGCTTCAATTCCCAAGACCCAGGCTTCAGTTCCCAAGACCAGGCTTCAATTCCCAAGACCCAGGCTTCAGACCCAGGCTTCATTCCCAAGACCCAGGCTTCAATTCCCAAACCCAGGCTTCAGTTCCCCCGGCTTCAATTCCCAAGACCCAGGCTTTCAGTTCCCAAGACCCAGGCTTCAATTCCCAAGACCAGGCTTCAGTTCCAAGACTTCCCAAGACCCAGGCTTCAATTCCAAGACCCAGGCTTCAGTTCCCAAGACCCAGGCTTCAATTCCAAGACCCAGGCTTCCCAAGACCCAGGCTTCAGTTCCCAAGACCCAGGCTTCAGGACCCAGGCTTCCCAAGACCCAGCTTCATTTCCCCCCAGGCTTCAATTCCCAAGACCAGGCTTCAGTTCCCAAGACCCAGGCTTCAGTTCTGAAGACCCAGGCTTCAATTCCCAAACCCAGGCTTCAGTTCCAAGACCCAGGCTTCAATCCAAGACCCAGCTTCATTCCCAAGACCCAGGCTTCAGTTCCCAAGACCCAGGCTTCAGTTCCCAAGACCCACCGTCGGGCAGAGCATCGTGGAGCGCCTCTGGAGCCGTCGTCGCCCACTCGGGGTCGGGCGCAGCGACGTCGAGCAGGGAGACCTCGTGGCCCCCGCGAGCGATGGCCCAGCCCACGTGGTAGCCCACGTAGCCTCCGCCGCCCGTCACCACGACCTTCATCGCTCCTCCTCGACCGCCTCGGCTCCCTCGACCTGTTGGATTTCGTTGAAACTGAAGGTGTGTTTTTGGTAGATTGGTAGGCCTACACTTTGATATTTCTGTGTACTCTTATTAGTTGTGGTTGTTAGTCCGATATACACTTCTCGCGCAATGGCTATATACTCACAGGGTGTCTGCAGCGCCTAGATGTTGCAGGCACATAAACAAAGGAATATAGAAGTATATTTTTAAACAACAATATTACCAATATATTTGTCTAGAAAGGTGTGGATAAACAGTTTACAGTCTTTATCAACTAATTAATCCAGTAATCAATCACACAAGTTTATATTTAGTGAAGAAGCAGAAAGGCATTGTGACCACGTACACACGCAGACACCCCCTCTCTCCACCTACACAAACAAACAAATAAACACGCACACACATAATAATGATAATAGGAATAATAATAATGATAAAACACACATCAAGCTAAAAGAAAGACAACAGCAATCACAACAACGAAACGAACGAGGACTAAAGAAAATGGAATAAAAAGGAACAAGAAAACTCAGGAATAACCGGAAAGCCTTCTCATGGCGTGCGTTGAGCTCCCGAGCCATTTCGAGCAGAAAATAATTTTTATTTCCTTTGTATGAGTCGCTGATTTTTCTTTCCGTCCCTCCTCCTCCTCCTTCCCCCTTCGCCCCTCTTTCGCTATGCAATTATTCAGAGTGCATTGGCGCAACGGCTACGAGGGACAGACCGCCTACGGAACCCACTGTATATAAAATTTTTTTTTTTTTCTTTGCTCTCTATGGGTAAACAAACCGGCCGCTAGAAATGTGGATATTGCTCGTCATTTCAGTCGTGTGTGTGTGTGTGTGTGTGTGTGTGTGTGTGTGTGTGTGTGTGTGTGAGTGTGTGTGTGTGCGTGTGTGTGTATGTGTGTGTATTATTATCAATTCTTAAGGCAAGGGATGTGCGCTTGTAAGAGACTAACCAAAGCTAAGATTGGCCTTACAGTGAAGCGAAACGGAAGTCTATTATTTTCATCACTATTATAGTTACTAACACAACGATATGCATTTTTGTACTTTGTCAACATTATTTATGCTAATGTTATTCTAGATGTTAAAAGTATCATCTTAATGTTATATTGGCAATACTGGTATTGTTTGTTATTGTCATTACAATTGTTATGACAATTTTTTGTTTTCATTACCATCCTTATCATTAATGTAATTGATATCAGCATTGTTATCATTACCCTTATTGATTATTATCCTAATTGTTTTTTTTCATTATTTAACATCATCAATGTTTTTACTGTTTATATTATCGTGACTACTGCTACTGATATTATTAGTCTTATTTTCATGATTTTCTCTTATTGTTCATATCGTCATCTTTCCGTTATTATTATTACCATCATTTCATTATTATTATCACTATTCCGTTATCATTATTATCATTCCACTATGATTATCATTGCCACCATTACTACTACTACTATTACTACTGTTCTACTAATATTATCACAATTATTATTATTGTTACTATCATAATAATTCCTATAGCAAGGATGTACCAGTGTACTTGATAATTTTGTACTGCAGATTTTTTCGTCTAGCGCAGGATCAGTGCAACTGCACAGACAACAGCGGTATGCCTGCTCGTTTGTTTGAAAGGGAGGGAGGGAGAGAGAGAGAGAGAGAGAGAGAGAGAGAAGAGAGAGAGAGAGAGAGAGAGAGAGAGAGAGAGAGAGAGAGAGAGAGAGAGAGAGAGAGAGAGAGAGAGAGAGAGAGAGAGATAGAAGAATTCTTGAGTCTCTGCTTTATTTATGCCTTTCCCAGATCACCTTCTTTACCCAGGCAGTAAAGCAAATGAGAGGGCCCCGGATTTTCAACAAGATGCACTATCCGTCTTGTGATGGTTCTGGTTATTATTATTTTGTATAATTATTGTTGTTATTAACATCATTTTTTCTATTATCAATCATTATCACTATTAGTACTATTACAATTACTACTACTATTACTACTGCTACTACTACTGGTACTTTTATCATTTATTTTATTATTCTCCTCATTATTATTATGAGCATCATCCTCATCATCAACAACATCATTAGCAATACCATCGCCATCCTCATCTTTGTCATCGTTGCCACTGCCATGCTAAGAATATCTCCCGAGTCCTCATATGCCAGGAGAGTACGTGGCACCCTTTTGGCACTTCCCAGAACCCGACGCCGCGAAAACACGTCTGGCACAGGATCACCGAGCGACCTTGAAGGAATTCTGACGAGGCGTTTTGACCTTATTTTTGCGTTTTTCTTTCGTTCTTTCTTTCTTTTCGATGACCTTGAAGGAATTCTGAAGAGGCGTTTGACCTTATTTTCTTTCTTTCTTTCTTTCTTTTTAGCGGCGTGAGTGTCTGTTCGGAAGGGAGAGGCATGAGGGGGAAGAACAAGAAAAGGAAGAAGAGGAGAACAAGGAGAGTAAGAAAGAGGAAAACACACAAGTGGATATGTACGCTCAAGCTGTCCCATGTAGATACATATCCACATATAATGTTGGTGATGACGATAGTAACGATGATGATGATGATAATGATGGTGGTGATGATGACGATAATGATGATACGATGGTCATGATGGTGTGGGATGATAACGATAACGACGACGACGACGATAGTGATGATGCTAATTATAATGATTGTGGTGGTGGTGGTGACGATGGTGAGGGCGACGACGGTGATGATGAAGATGGTGATGATGATGATGATAATAACATTACTATTACTATTGATAATAATCATAATGGTGCTGATTACTATAATGATAACAATGATGATGATGTTATTAATAATAACATAGATGATGATTATGATAATACTAATACTAATGACAATGATAATAACAATGATAATAGTAATGAAACAATAATAATGATAACATCAATAACAATGATGATGATGAAGATGATAATGATAATGATAATTATGATAATGATAATGATAATAATTATAATAGATAATGATAATGATGATTGTAATAATAATAATAAAATAATAATGATAGTACTAATAATGATAATGATAATAATAACAACGAGGATAACAATAATGATAATCATGATAATAGCAAATACTAATTATAATATAATATAATTATGATAATAATAACAACAAAAACATCAATAAGGATATAAATGATAATGATAATAATGATGATTATAATGCTAATAATAATAGAAATAATAATGATAATAGATGAGGATAATAATGGTAGTAGTAGTAATAATAATGATAATAATGATAATAATAATAATAATAATGATAATAATAATAATAATAATAATAAAAATGATAATGATGATAATAATAATAATAATAATAATAATAATAATAATAATAATAATAATAATGATAATAATAATAATAATAATAATAATATGAATAATGAATAATAAATAATAATAATAATAATGATAATAATAATGATAATGATAATAATAATGATAATGATAATAATAATAATATAATATATGATAATAATAATAATAATGATAATGATAATAATAATGGTAATGATGTTGATAACAATAATGAATAATGATAATGATAATAATAATAATAATAATAATAATATAATGATAATATAATGATAATGATAATATAATATAATATAATGATAATGATAATGATAATGATAATATAATAATGATAATGATAATAATAATAATAATAATAATAATAATAATAATAATAATAATAATAATAATAATAATAATAATAATAATAATAATAATAATGATAATAATAATAATAATGATAATAATGACAATATAATAATAATGATAATGATAATGATAATAATGATAAATAATTAAACAATCATGTTAATAATGCAATGATAATAAAATGATAATAATATAATGATAATCATGACAACAACAACAAAAAAACAATCATAATGATGATGATGAGATAATGACAATACTACTACTAAATAAACTGATAATAACAGCGGGGGCAACAACAACAGCAACAATATTAACAAAAGTAAATGTAATAACAATGACAATAATAATGATATATATCTATGTTTACCTATCCGTCTCTCTACCTATCTATCTATCAACATAAAATCAGCCACGCTGTTATGTCACTCGATGAGCCTCTCCCATTAAGAAATTAGTTGGCAGGGTCGTCAACAAAAACAGCACAGAGGTCCATGTTAAGTGCAAGCAGCAACCTCTGCAATAAGTCAGCTGGCAAGAACCTCGCAATAAAGAGCCTTCTGCCCCCGTCCATCGCAATCTCCTTCGTGTTACCTCACCTTGCCTGAGTGTTCCCTTCGACGCTGAGACACGAAAAAATGCGAGTTTCTGAGCGATGCTTTACAGACAACGATAATCTGATTCGTTCCTTTCTTAGCTCTCGTTGCGATAAGAAATGAGATAATGAGGTTGAGATAATGAAGCGATATCTGCTGATAAGCGCTGATGATTTACGTTGCTATGGGAGACGCATGACCTCAAAGGAGGCGGGGCTTAAAGGAAGAGGACACAGAGGAAAAGGCACACAGCTGTCAGGGGAAAACCGGAGAAATAAGGAGACAGAGAGAGAGCGGCGATGATAAGAGCCATAACAAAGGGGCATCAAACGGAAGCCCTTGTTGGGGGAGCGTGACCGAGAGAGCGAGGGGAGAAGAAGAAAGGGGAGGAAGTCAACAAACAAAATTGCTGCAGTAATGGGAGGAGACATAAACATGGGCTCGGTGAATATAAGTAAATGTATATGTATATACTGTATATATATTTACAACACACACACACACACATATATACATATACATGTACACACACCACATATATATATACTATATATATATATATATATATATATATATATATAATATATATATATATATATATATATATATATATATATATATATATATATATATATATTATATATATATATATATATATATATATATTATATATATATATATATATATATATATATATATATATATATATAT